TCTGATGCGGCTGAGTTGTGTGGCTGCTTCACAACACTGACATTTTTATAGCACCTCAGATCTGCACAATTCGAGAATTCAACAACGACACGTACACTGGCCATATCGATGACTATGGGCGACCGAATGGGGAAGGAACGATGCACTGGAACTCTGGTGATATGTATGCAGGTCATTGGAGGTCGAGTGACATGAGTGGCCATGGTACTTACTATTGGGCGAACGGGAACATCTATGATGGTCACTGGTTAAATGGCAAGCAAGAGGGAAGAGGTGTGTTCACTCAAAAGAATGCCAGTCGATACGGAGGCGAGTATCAGAAGGGCAAGCAACACGGTCGCGGTATCCTCAGATACGCAGACGGTAGAGAGTACGATGGTGACTGGCTAAACGGCGTTGAAGAAGGAAAAGGCAAGTTCACTTGGCCGGACGGTGGACGGTATGAAGGTGAATTCCGTCAGGGCCAGTTCAATGGACGTGGAATTGAATACTACCCTAGCGGCGCTAAATATGTCGGAGAATGGAAGGACGCCAAAAGACACGAAGGGATGTGGCAAGACAACAGACGAAATGGAGCTGGACAGTTTTTTCGCTCTGATGGATCGTCATGGATAGGAGAGTGGAGAGACGATTTGCTGCACGGACAAGCTCAACTCATCTCGAAAGACGGTGTACATATAAGAGAGGGAAAGTGGGAAAATGGGAAAGAGATCGGACCGCCTCGCAAGTCATAACGCTGTGCCTACGGAGGAAACGCTTGCAAGTCAGTGGTAGTAACAACAGTCGGCTAGACAGAAACTTTGCGGATATTCAACTGAGGACGCTTCATTTCTATGCTGTATGTGTATTTTTGAAAACCTTCGTTTTTGAGCTCTTGGCGCTCTCTTTTTTACGGCGCATGAGATGACTTTGAAAATGCCAATAAACAAGAATGCTCTCAAGTTCTCGACTGCCTGTGGAACTATCTCACTCGACACTTGTACAACTAGTGACAATGTAAAGGACACTTTATTCTCGAGCGAATTAAATTTTTTGATTCGAAGGGACACAGACTACATCTAGAGAGTTACACTCATTATTTGTCAGGTCATCGTTTACGTTTAAATCGTTCCACTCGATTCGACTCATCCCGCCTCGCCCCTCAGCCGCATTAGACTTCTTTATTTCCAGGACTTCAAAAACAAAAAAAATGAAACGAAGAAAAGTAAGAAGTCTTCCTTTCTTTTTATGCACTGAAACAAAGTTGTAGGAAAGGAAAGAAAAAAAGCAACAGAATGAATAAAAGGAGAACGGTAACACTCATGTCACGGCTTTCCAGTCAGCTGTATCTCACAGCTTTCCTCGTTCCACGAGGCGAAACTTTGTTCATTGCGAAGAATATTATACATAGTAACGATTACCTGCAAGGCACATGGAGGACCATGCTAGCAGAGTGCGATATCGATCGAGTACTGCTGAAGCGACAGCGAGCGGACCGCAATCCGCCACTCCCATTTCAATTTGATTTCCCGAGTAAGTGCATACTCGCAGTGATGGGCCGAAGGGTGGGCGAGGAGGAGCAATTGCCCACCCTCAAACTAAACATTTGCGTTCTGCTCAAGGGGGTAAAAGCACCACTTCACCACTTCATTTCACTTCACTTCATCTAGGTAAAACGCTGCTGAAACGGTCGAAACAATAAAAAATCACTTCAAGTTAAGCGGAAGTGGTGAAATGGTACTTTCCCTCCCTTGCTTCCC